TGATGAACATACCCCCGTGATGGACACACCACCCAATGATGGACATACCACCCAATGATGAACATACCCGTGTGATGGACACAACACCCAATGATGGACACATCACTCAATGATGAACACACCACCCAATGATGAACATGCCCTTTCCCTCTCAATTGGCTTTTGTCAGGCATTTTGTACAGCATGGAGAAAAGCAGCTACTACCCAGTGTTACTCGGATTTGAATTATCTTAGTAAGACAAAAAGAAGCCTGGCTTGGTGGCTCAGCCTATTGTCTCAGAACTGAGGAGGCTGAGACAGGATAGTGAATCTGAGCCAGCCTGACTTTGAAGATAGTAATTACCAACTGACCTCAAACTTGGTATAAGGCCAAGGATGACTTTAATACCTGATCTTCCTGCCTCTACCTCCTGTCAGGATTACAGCAATTATCATCTGACACAAGAGGTACACAGTCCACTGCAAAGAGGTTAAAAGGTGACATGACTTCCAAGATGTATTTAATCTTCTTTTACATGTATGAGCATTTGTCTGCAGGTGTATTATGTGCACCACATATGGATACCAGAAGAGGGTATCAGATTCCCTGGGACTGGAGTTACAAAGAGTTATGAGGCTCCACGTGAGTGCTGGGAACAAACCCAAGTCCTCTGCAAGGGCAGCAAGTGCTGTTAATCACTGAGCCACCTCTCCAAGGACAGGACGTGAGGGAGAGGAATGGCTTCCCTTTCTCCATTCCCACACAGGTGATAAGTTCTACATTTCCTTCTCAGTCCGACTCATCTTTTAGTTCTATTCAACACAAATGGAGTTTAAAAATAACTCTGGATAAAGATGAGAAGCCACACCATGGTTGCCTTAGCCAGGATTTTAGGAAGCAGTGTGAGCCAAGTACCTCCCAAGCCTCAGGTTCACGTCTGTAAAACAAATCAGAGAAGCACTTACAGCTCATGAGGGTCACGAGCAGCAACAGTCTCACATCTGAAGTGGCTGCTATCATCACTTGCCTGTTTTCCATTTGCCTTCCACTTCTGACATGGAGAAGGACGGGACCTGTCCAAGCTTCCTGCTATTCAACCACCCCAGCTCACATTAGCCATATGCTTCTAGCAGAAACATTCACCATGACAACGGCCGCACAACAGTTTCACCACTGATGCAGGTGCTAACAATTACAGCACACACGTGGTCAAGTTCTACACTTCAGCATCCCCTACAACATTTAGCAATCATCTACTCAACAAATGAGATTTCACAGTAGAGAGGTGCTGGCCTCATATGCAGGAAGCCTTGTGCTCAGTCCACAGCAGGCTGGGAGGCAAGAGGGAGAGAAAAGATGAAAAGAAACACAAAGAGGAGAGTGGAGAGAGAGGGAAAGGAGACTTTGCATTGAGCCCTGAGAGTTTCTGGGGAAGCAGGGCTGGGGGTGCGACTCAGTTGCTAGGACTCCTGCCTACGATTCGCAGACCCTGCGCTCCACTGCCAGGACCTATGAACTGGGCGTCCTGACGCATGCCCTAACCATCCTCTGATCGCCACTGCCAGCCACTGTTTCCTTCAGTCTCCTCCCACGGATCCCAGTGCCACTCTTTCTTGTTGCCCACTTGTCTTGCTGACTGCTCTTTGTGTCTGTCATCTTCCCCTCCAAGTCTCTTAGGGACTCATACAAAAGGCACAATCTCTTAGGGACTTCCTTATGCAAAAGGCACAATCTCTTAGGGACTTCCTCATACAAAAGGCACAATCTCAAGAGCTACTACAAGCTTTGATGGAGAAATCCATGTTTCCGAGCTTTGTGACTGAGCGTCAGACCTCTATGACCACATGCCTCCCACACGTTTCCATGCAGACACAGCAGATGCTTTGACATCCACACATCTGAAGGTACTATGGCTACTCTTTCCAGCACACCAGCTCCTCACTATACTTCTAGTCTAGAAGGGCCTAAGGTCAGAAACCTGGGAGCCAGCCCTCACCTCTCACCCACCGCTGAGACTCAGCTCCCGGGTACTTTTGCTTATGTGCCCTCCTCACCATTACCTTAAATCCCTCCAATCTCTTGGTGACAGGACAACAGCTCCATCCTCTGGACACTTCAATAGGAGAAAAATGTCTTTGAAAGACTGAAAGCGTGTGACTGGAGAGATGGCTCAGTAACTAAGAGCTCTCTCTTGCAGAGGATCCAGGTTTGTGCCCAGCGCCTACATGAAGCCTAACAACGGTCTCTAACTCCTATTTCAGAGGATCAGACACCAGACAGTACACAGCCATACACACATGCCATTTCCAGGAAGTCCAGAAGGTACCGAATCCTCTGGGTGCTAAGAACTAAGGCCAGGTCCTTAGCAAGAGCAACAAATGCAAAGCCCCTGACCCATCTTCCCAGCCAGGGTCCTCCCAAAGGTGCTGGTATGAATTTGGAGTTCTCTAGTTCACCCCCAAGAAGCCTATGGACTCTGCTCTTCCGTAGTCTATCTTCAAATGTCTCCACTGCCATGAAAGGATCTAAACAAACTGTAGACCGACACAGAGAAGCCTTGGCCCAGTCCCCAGTCCCACAACTTGCCTAGCAAGCAGCATTTCCTCAGCCGCATCAGAGTCTTCCTTCGTCTTACCATCCCCTCTATAAACAAAACAGTAGGCCCTGAAACTGACACTCGGTGCCTCTCCACTATGTCCCCTCCGTCACAGCACTGAGAGTCAGGCTTGGCCTAACACACATGTAGTCTGAAGGGCAAGCTAAAGGAACAGCTAGGGAAGCCCTGACTTCTAAGAGAAGCTTGTGGGAACTCTGAGGAGGTAAGAAGCAGAATTTTATGCTCTGGGAGCAGATCTGGTAAGAACTAGGGAAACCTGAGAATCCACCATCTGTACTTGAGCTTGGCTGGTCTGAGGTACAGGTCCCAAAAACATGGTGTTAACCCCTGGAGTAGTCTGTGCCGAATAGAAGACGCTCAGAAAGACTGCAGACCTAACTCGGCTGGCCTGTGAGAGCAAGGCTCATTCCACAGAGCTGCATGCCTTACAGGGGTGATTCAGGGTGGGAACAGGGCCTACTAGTCAGATACTGAGAAACAGAGAGTGAAGGGCAAATCTAAAATATTAAAGAGTCAGTTTTGGGTGGAACCTCGGGTAACACACTAAATAAAAACAAATTACTTAACACACAGTGCCAGAGTGACTCGGAGTTGATCTCCAACTGTACTATGATGAAATCTACCAAGTCAAACAGAACACAGCTCCTGGCCTGCCATCAAGGACTCCATCAGGAAAGATAACCACACAAAGTCATAATCCCTGGAGCAAAACAGAAAGAAGGGGAGTTCAAGATCACATGGAAGATTTAAAGAGCACGTCAGCAGTTCCTCTGCTAAACATGGTCCCTGTCTTAAATGCACCAGCCGTCCTAGTTACCATGCAGCCCCTTCACCAGCCGCGCAGGCCAAGAGGCAGAAGCCAGCCCCAGTGAAAGCAGCTCGCTGGATCCCTCTACTGGCCGCTGTGTAACACTGCCAGGAGCTCTTGCCCAATATGATTCTTTAAAAGGTTACATAAGACTTGATAAATAACTAGTGTGAAGACAGCCAAAGGGGAGGGGCCAACAGTCCTCTGACTATTGAAGCGTGCTCTACCCTTGTGTAGACAACAAGCAATGTCGAGTCAATCTGAAAGACAGGTCCTGTCTTATAGGCTTCTTCCTCCCTTTCTCCAACTCTTCTCTCTCTCTCATCCCTCCTTCTCTCTCCTTTTCTCTCTCTCTCTCTCTCTCTCTCTCCCTCTCTCTCTCTCTCTCTCTCTCTCTCCCTCTCCCTCTCCCTCTCCCTCTCCCTCTCCCTCTCCCTCTCCCTCTCTCTCTGAGAAAGGGGAGGGGAAGGGAACACTGGTGATGGAGCCCAGAGCCTTAGCCATGCCAAGCAAGTTCTCCACCATGGAAAAGACACAGGGGCCATATCCAGATGGTCCCCACAGATACCTGGGAAAGGACTTGAAATCAATCAGGAGAAGGCTCAGGAGTTAAGAGAGTGCACTGCTCTTGCAAAGGACCCAAGTTCAGTTCCCTGCACTTGTGTCAGGCAGTTCACAGCCACCTGTAACTCCAGTTCCGGGAAAGCCTCTGGCCTCCTGGGGTATCGCACTGACCTAAACTTATCCACTTATAGACACACATGCATTTGCATAATTAAAATAATTTTTAAAAGCAACTGCCATACTTATCAATGCCTATTGCCAGTGATAACAGTGAAAACCCTTAGAAGTTTGGCAACACAGTACAGATGGCCACATTAACAGAGGCTTCTGACAGGATGGCCAGTCTAAACTATCTGAATATAATATTCAAAAGGCCCAGGAATACAATTTACAAAGTTATTTCAACCAGGAAAATATGACTTATTTTCAAAGGAAAGGAAAAGCTAGCAAACTCATGCTAACTTAGAGTTATCAAAGATGTCAGCTACTAAAACACGAAACAAAAGTAAGTGGTCTTGAATGAATAGACAAAAGTAGTTCTAGCAAAACAAAGTCATTTGAGAAGTGAGCTTAGTACTGTGTGAGCCACCGTCATCCTGAGCGAGAGGACCAAGCTTCTTGAGGGTGGGATCAGAGATACAGCGAGGCCCAGGTCTGATGCCCAGTACCATCAAACACCAAAACACTGAGCCAACAGACAGTGGTTTACAGAGCAACGTTTGGAAGTTATCAGCACTGATCCTAGAGACACGGGAAGGTTGTCTCCTATGCAAACCCTTAACCTGTGTCTTTAGCTTTTGTAAAGTAAACTCACACATCAAAGGCCAAGACAAGGTGCTGGTAGCCACCTAGTGCTCAGATAGACTATAATCAAGCTGCTGCTACCTCAAGCAAACACAAATGTCAAGTGACTCCATTGAGCAACCTTATAGAAAGTACTTACGTTGGGTTTTTTTTTTTTTTTTGGTTGGTTGGCTATTTTGCCTATCTTCCCTCCCTGCACCCTCCAGCACCCAACAGTGCTGGGGATGAAAGCCCTCAAACATGCTAGGTAAACACTAGCACTAAGCTATACTCTCAACTCAGTGCTGTGATTCTGAACCCTGCTTTTACTCTAGTGTAGCTGTGAAGTCAGGTGGTAAACAGCTTCGTGAACTGGACCCTAAGAAGACTCTGAGGTAAGCACGCTGTAGCTCTACATGGCCATGTGTCTCATTCTCAGTTGTCTTTCCACAATACTGTGATGCTACCTTAAGACAGTACTGTGTACACCTGCGAGGCCATGGCGTGACTGAATGCAGATGCGGCTGTTGCATACAGCTGTTCTGAGACATTACTCTCACCGAATTTCTTGTTACCTACCATCTCCTGAGGATAACTTACTTGGTCAGCTTGTGGCTTTTCATTGCTGTGAGGAATTCTTGGACAATCGCCGGACTCTGGTTTCTACATGGTGTTTTTGATATGTATTTTAATGTCTAAAGAATAAATACACAAAAGAAAGGCAAACATAAGTTATAGAAAAGCAAAGATCCTGTGGGACGAGATACCTTCACCCCCTCAGTCAAATAGTCAGTGGGCTACCATGCTGCTGGGCTCTCCCGTACTGAGTTAAAGGACTATCAGTCAAATAGTCAGTGGGCTACCATGCCAGCATAGTCATTTTGACATCTCCCTAGAGGTCTTGAGAAAATGCAATGGCTGTTGCTTGCTGTGGCTCCTGAACAGACTGGACTGTTTTGAACAAGCTACACTGGATTATTGTTGTTGTTAAAAAAAAGTATCAGACTGCCTTAAATGATGTGGAGAGTCCCACCCATATTGTGGGTGGCACCTTCTCTGACTATCTAAGCAGGCTGTCCAGCTCATTGGTGAGATGACTGGGAAACACCCTCACCTTCTGTGCTGCCTGCCTTCCCTGAGGTTGCAACAGATCTGATAAAATGCTTCTCTCGGGTGGTTTTTGTTTTTCCTCTTTGCTATTGCTTTCTCTTTTTCCATTTCTAGTACAGCAAGCTACACTGGCAACACAAAGAAGGAAGAGACAGTGGAGCAGCAGAGGTGTTAACTGCAGAGTTGCTGGCAGCTCAAGCTGCGGAAGTGGTGGGGCAGCAGCCACCCTCCTGACTGACCAGGCCCTGGGTAGTCAAGCTTACCTCGTAGGTGATGGCGTTCAAGTTCTGCTGTCCAGCACTATGTTTGTTCTTCCCGCTTTCCTTCCGCTGCTCTTTGAGATCCGTTAGTAACTGGAACACCTAGGAAGGGGCACGGGAGATACTGGTCAGTAGAGTTGAAGATGTGTCTCTTCCAAGGGTTTAAGTCAGTCAGGTAAGGCCACTTTCTTTCCACAAGCCTGCTTCCCAACAGCTGCTCTAGAACAAGTATGATGTCCTAGAACCATGCAACAGCTTTTAGATGCTCTCTTAGCTAAGTGAGTTCAAATCGTCCATTTACTTAAAATACTGGAAAGTCAGCTCAGAGATGGCTAAGAGCACTTTCTGCTCTTCCAGAGGACCCTCACATCAGTCGGCTCACAACCATCTGTAACTCCAACTCCCGAGGCCATGGCCTCTATGGGTACATATGCATACACACAGACATATTAAAATTAATAATGTAATATTACTATAATCTATGACAATATAGTACTAGTACCTATCATGAACCAGAGCTGCCTTGCTTCTCTGAAGAGCCATATTATTATAATATAATATATAGAACAATATATTATTATTAATATAATATTATTAAAAATAAGACCCTTAAAAAAATAACTGTGGAGTCTACTTAAAAACATGTATCATGCCAGGCAGTGGTAGCGCACGCCTTTAATCCCAGCACTTGGGAGGCAGAGGCAGGTGGATTTCTGAGTTCCAGGCCAGCCTGGTCTACAGAGTGAGTTCCAGGACAGCCAGGACTATACAGAGAAACCCTGTCTCAAAAAACAAAAAACAAAACAAAAAAACACATATCACAAGCTCAGCCAGTAAATGCACTTGCTCTCAAACATAGCACCCTGCGTTCAGTCCCGGGACCCACATGACAGAAGGAGAGAACCAACTCCCACAAGTCCTCCGTCCTCCATGTGAATGGGGATACACATCACACAGAATAAATACAATGTAATTTATTTTTTAAAATCATACATCACTAATCCTTTTATCTCAAAGCCTTTATGAGTATTTGAAAGCAAATTTTCCAAAGCTAAATATTTTAAAAGGGCTTTGCTTAATATACAGTCTAGTCTAACAACTTCTTTCTCTAATAGAAAAAGCATGAGACAAGTGATACAATACAGCATTAAACATACTAAGAGCCAAGGACATAGCTCGGCGGCAAACCATTTGCTTCCTCTGTCGGCATCCCTGGGTCCCCAGCAGAACAAGAAAAACGAAGGGAAATGCAATGGATTCTTACAAGTCAACTTTCCCCACAAAGAAGACACAGACACATTAGTGCTGTGTTGGAGGCCAGTAGTACTTTGCTCCTGCTTCTGAATTTTTATCAGAGATCTGAGGAAACTACAAACTCACAGATTATTACTGCACACGCGTGCAACACCTGCCCAACAGTTCCCCAATGCCAACAGTCCCCCAACCCCACCACCTTTGAAAAACAGTACCATGAGACCCAGTGAACAAAATGTTTCCCCCAGTGAAACAAACACCCAAATACTGAGCAAAGGCCAAGCAGGACAAAGCTCCTAAAAGCCAATGTTTTGAACAATGAACATTCCCCTCCTGTGGCTAAGCCACAAGTACTTGGGCTGAATCTGTAGTAAGCAATAGAGCTTACTGAATTAATTCTACAAACACACACACTAAGTATACAGCACACACACAGAGTACACAGACACAGAGAATATATAGCACACAGAGGGAGGGAGAGAAGGAGGGAGGGAGGGAAGGAAGGAAGAAGGGAAGGAGAGTATGAGAGAGAGAGAGAGAGAGAGAGAGAGAGAGAGAGAGAGAGAGAGAGAATGGAGACCCAGACCTCCTCCAAGACTGAGTTTTCCTTGGGACATGGAAACTGACAGAGAAGTTATCAGCAGGCCCTTCTATACCTGGAGCTGTCCTAGTAGACTGCTCTGCCAGCAGCAAACCAGACCCAGGCAAAGTTGAAGGCAGGTAAATTGTTAATCCCTCCCCTCTCGCCAATCTCCTTCCTCTTCTTCCATCAGCCCCCAAATTATAAACCTGCTCATTCTATCCAAATTAGTCACAATGGTGAGTCAACTCAACTCTTATTCTCAAAATGAGGGTATCAGAGTCTTTGAGGCCATCTGAGAATCAAAGAGAAGTAGAGAATGGTTATTAGCAAGAGGCTACGCATTTCATAGGAGACTTTTACAGCGGGACTGCACTCTAAATCAGCAGCCTTCTTCTGGGACATCTGAGACTCTGGAATTTGCAGAATAGGACCTATTAGGACCAGGGCCTCCCTGCTTCCCTCAAGAACCATGTGTAGTTCACCAAACTCAGATCACTCCAAGATCCATCAGGGGCCACCTGCCCTGCGTTAAAGCAGAAACTTCAAATGAGTTCTCATTTCTAAAGAAAATCAACCCAACATCTTCATAAGCAGAGACTAAACCAAAAGAAGAAAATACTACAGCCTGAGTGGGGTCCTCACCTCGTAGTTACTGAGCAGTGCCGCGTTCGCATCCTTCCTGCAAAACAAGAGTGACCTGTCGTCAGTTCACACCCATTTCAAGGTTAAGTGTCCACAGAGTAAACCCTTTAAGTCAATCCCAGCTATCTCATTCGGGAATTCAGAAACATCCTAAAACTAGAAATGCCTAAGTCCTGCCCTGGTTAGCTGGCCCTGCACCAGCAATTTCAGATAAAGACAACTTTCCTTTTTCTCTTAATGTTACTTATGTGTGTGCATGTGCCTATGAGAGTGCATGCATGTACTACACAGATATGCGGATGTGCATGCCTGTTATGTCTATGCCTGAGTGTGCACAGAAGCCAGAAGACGGCACTGAACCCCTCAAAGCTGGAGTCTGCAGGATGCCTGGACTTTTCTCATGGGTGCTGAGATCTGAACTCTGGTTCTTATTATGTAACCACCAAGCCCCCAGACTTTCGTTTTTACAGACATAGCATATCACAAATCCATTTCCTCTTGGAAGACTAAGATACCGTGTTATCCCAAATCTATGTAGATAAAAGTTGAGGGGTCGGACATCTGGTACAAGTTAGCTACAAGAACACGGAGGCAAGCCCTCGAAGGAACCCCACTCTAGAAGGGTCCATAAGCATCAAGTGCATCAGAAACGCCTGGAGAATCAAGTGCTGATTCGTCCTGAGCCAACATCCTTGTCTCAGTACCACCACCAGTCACTGGCATCTTGGACAGCCTGAGTCCTGCCATGTTGACAGAAATGGGCTATGTACTTTAACACTGACGATGTCACTAGGAGCTCCAGCAAGGGTCAAGGATCCTGTGAACCAGTCACAGAGACGTCATATACCCAGTTGCTAAAAGCCTGGTTTTTCCCCTGTGTAACAGCTGATTAAGCAAACTGTTACCAATCCTGTGTGAGCACAGCTTTGGCATAAATAACAACCGATCCACTCCGCAGGACCGCATCAGAGATATCATATCAGTAACACACAGACCACAGCCAGTCCATTCCACACCAGCCAGCTGAGGATGTATTGTTGTCAGCAGTCTGAAGCCGGTATACTATGACAATTAAGGACACAGTCTTGAAACCAGACATATATAGGTTCAGATTTCCTCTCTGCTTAGTGTAAGATGGAGGTCTATTGGGCCAGTTTCTCCCCAAGCTTACCCCAGCTAAAACAAGATATGGGGATAATTTAGTCCAGCGTGGGAGCTGGAGAGATGGCTCAGTGGTTAGGAGCTCTTGCTGCTCTTGTAAAGGACTGGAGCTCAGCTTCATCACCTACATCAGACAGCCCACAACTGCCTGTAACTTGTTCCAACACTGTCTCCCAGCATCCAAGGGCACATGACTGCATGGTGCACAGGCAAGCAGACACACACATATACATAAGTATATTTTAAAACAAATTCAAGTGTAACTTGATTCTAAACCCCACACTATCACTGGCTGTGTGAATCTTCTAAAGTGACTTCCTCTCTATAAATAAAGCCCACCTACAACGTGGAGCTTATACCATACACATTTGTAAGATCACATGACATAATTATCTAGAACACTGCATGTGCCCGAGAAATGTCACTGTTGTTACGTTTCCATGAGCTCCTAAACTCCTCACTTCAGAAAGATGCTCAGGTGAAATTCAACGACAGAGTTTAAGATTAGAACCTCCATGATTGGAGGCCCTCATTTAAAAAAAAAAAAAAGATTATTTCGGGCTAGAGAGATGGCTTAGTAGTTAGGAACGCTAGCTGCTCTTCCAGAGGACCTGGGTTCAATTCCCAACATCTACATGGAGGCTTACAACCATTTGTAATTCCAATTCTAGGGGAATCCTATGCCCTCTTCTGACCTCCAAGGGCACCAGGCATGCACATGGTATATAGACATACATGTAGACAAAACACCTATGTGCATACAATAAATTTTAAAAAAGATTATACCAACTCTCACTAAAACCGCTTAGATGCAGGAACTAGTGATATGTTTTCAACTCTACAGATGACAAAGCTGAGGCTCAGAGATTAAAGGGTCTTGCTCACCTAAGAAGCCCCAGGGAGATGGAAGACAATTATGACTGGGAAAAATGAGACCAGACTAAGTGAAAGGAAACTAGTGACAGAACCCTAAACCTTTGGGCAGAGCAGTCTAGAGCAGACACGATATACAACAAACCACCGCCTGCTCCTTCACCAGGAGGGCGTCTACACAGTAAAAGGACAGCGAAGCACAGCATTTCAGAGCCGCGGGCCTGAGCTGCTTTCCCTGGTCAACAACGGCGGCGGACTCTCCCACAGCTAACACAAGGGTCAACTTAGGGCTCAAGTCAATAACACAGTGACGTGAGCACAGAGCAGAGCCACACGCTATTGGTGATTCAGCAAACAGCTACGATTTCACAAATCTGCTTCATCCCAAAGACGCTGCACCCAAGTCACAGAGTATTCTATTCAGAAAGAATCTAACAAAAAAACTCAGAGGTACATGACTCAGAGGGGAGAGTGCTTGTCTAGCATGCACAGGGCCTTGGTTCCAAAAATACCAGGCATGGAGGACAGTAGAGATGGAGGCAAAAATATCAGAAGTTCAATGTCACCCTCAGCTACACAGACTACAAGGCCAATTTGAGTTAAATGAGAGCGTGTCTTTAAAAAAAAAAAAAAAAAAAAAAAACTAAAGAGTCAAATCAAATCACATCCACTTAGTCAGGAAAAGCAGTCCCCAGGCTTCCTGTTTCTGCTTGAAATTGAATTACAGTCGCTCTCAGAGGAACACTGCTCCTGTGATCTCTTTGGGGCCAATGGCTCCAACCTCGAGTCACTGGTATATGTCATTTCCAAATCACATGCCACTCTGATGTCCGGATTGAGAAATGTGACCTTGGCTATTCCAAGTCACCGCCCAACTATTCAAGCTAGCACAGAGGTGGGCAAGGCAGTGTGTGCTTGTAAGCACAGCACGCCAACGGCTGTGGCAAGAGGATTGTATTGGCTACATGTCTCTCTCTCTCTCTACCTGTCTCTGTCTCTCTGACGTTCTCTGTGTCTCTGTTTCTCTCTGTCTCTACCTATCTCTGTCTCTCTGCCTGTCTCTCTGTTTTTGTCTCTCTCTGTGTGTCTCTGTTTCTCTCTGTCTCAGTCTCTCTCTCTGTCTCTCTCTCTGTCTCTCTCTCTCTGTCTGTCTCTCTTTCTCTCTCAAACACACACACACAGATGTAAGAATGTAAGAATCCAACAAACATCACCTGTCTTCTCTAACAAATACAGAGAGACACAGAGAGAGGAAGGGAGGGAGGGAGAGAGGAAGCAATTGGGAATTCTCTTTCACATACAATTTGAAAAGTAAAAAAATGTGGTGCTGGGGATTTAGCCCAGGACCTGTCACATGTTAAGCAAACGCTTACCACCACCCCCTCCAGCCCTCCTGTGCACTGAGTCTGTTTGAGAACCAAGAGAAGATGCAGATGCTGTGTCTTGCAGACAGCCTCTGGCTGGCACAGACCAACTAGTTCATTGCTTTCCAGCCCTTCCACCACCTTCCCTTCCTTAGTTTCCATTTCTTTTTGCTTTGGGGGACAGTCTCACTATGTAGCCCAGGCTGGCCTCTGTCCTCATGATTCCCCTGCCTCAGGCATCTGAGTACTAGGAATGTAGTTGTGCACCACCACGCCTGAATGATCTTAAGGCCCAGCCATTCAGCTAAATATTCAGATTAAATGCCAAAACAGTGTAAGGATGAGTTTATTCAGTACAAGGCCAATGAGAGACTGATATAGGTCAGTGGTAGCACATGTGCTTAGCACGCAATCCCTAGAGCCACACCTCCTGTCGATGGGTGTGCTAATCACCTTTTCCCATGAAAGCATACGTGAGCTGTACATCTTGAAAATTTCTTTTTTAAGATTTTTTAATTTATTTATGTGTATATGTGCATGTGTGTTCAGGTGCCTACAAAGGCCAGAAAAGGAGATAGGTTAGCTCAGGGAAGTTATCAGGCCACCTGATATGGGTACTCGGAACAGAACTGGGTCTTCTCCAAGGATAGCAAATGTTATTATCCACACAACCGTCTCTCCAGCCCCAAGGGAAATGCTTTCAACGGCAGTTTTACCCTCAATAAGTACAGTCGCCACTAGGTTGATGGGGAAAGAAACACAAAGCAGGAATAATTCAGAAAGGTGATCAGAGCCCAAACCAGGTATCCGTGGTAACTGCATCCCACGCCACTAGGAGAGCTCAACTTCATAATCTCACTAAACTAAAACACACATCCATCTCAAGGCCAATGTCACAGAAAAAAAAAAAAACCTAGCTGTTCTAAGATAAAGGACATTAAAGGAAGAGTGCAATCAATGCAACCCTTCACGGTGCAGGGAGAAACCCCAGCTAAATGACATGACAGAGAGAGAGAAAGACAGAGAGACAGAGACATTTCCATGGCTGGAAAGATGGCTCAACAGTTAAAAGCACTTGCTTCTGTGCAGAGAATCCAAGTTTGGCTGCCAGCACCCACACTGGGCATCTCACAAACACCAGTAACTCATCTTCAGGGGATGGAGACACTCACAGATACCCACACACATAGCACACACAGGGACATGCACACATAACATTTTAATTTTTTGTTGTTGTTGGGTTTTTGCTGGGATTAAAGGCGTGCACTACCATTGCCTGGCTTAAAATCAAAATTAAAAAAAAAAATCTTTAAATGACATTATTAAGGCAACTGGAAAATTTTGGACATGCACGGCATTGACATCAGTGTTAAGTTTCCTAGCTGTGATAATTGTACTGTGGCCACTTACAACAATGTCACTGTTCAAGAAGGGATGAAGAAACTGGAGATATGGGCTAGTGGCTAAGGGCACTTGCTGCTCTTCCTGAGAACCCACACTCAGTACCCAGCACCCACGTGGTGGCTCACAACCACCTGCACCTCCAGTTCCAAAGGATCCAATGCCCTCTTCTGACCTCGTGGATGCCAGGCACAAATGCAGTACATATTCATGCAGGGAAAACACTCATAGACATGAAATAAATAAATCTAAAAGGGGGTTGGTTTTTTTATTGTTATTGTTTGGGGTGTTGTGTTTTGTTTTGTTTTGTTTTGTTTTGTTTTGTTTTGTTTTGTTGAGAAAAGGTACAGCTCCAGTTGTCCTGGAACTCACTCTGTAGACCAGGCTGGTCTTAAACACAGAAATCTGCCTGCCTCTGCCTGCTGAGTGCTGGGATTAAGGGTGTGCTTCACCACTGCCCGGTTTAAAAAGTGGTTTTTCAAAGGGTGAAATACTGGTATGATGTCTGCACGTCTCCAGTGGTTCTGTGTAATATGTGTGGATATGTGTGCGTGGAGAGAACACTTGTGCAAGGCAATACAGCAAATATGCATGCTGAAATGCGAACAAACAGGCCAGCAAGATGGCACTTACTGACAGCCTGAGTTTGATCCCATGTGATGGAAAGAGGGAGCTAACTCCCACAAGATGTCCTCTGACTTCCACATATGTGGTATGGCACATGCATCCCCGATAAATAAATTTAATTTTTTAAAAAAGAGTTAACAAGTAAGGCCTCAGCAAGATACCTCAGCAGGTAAAGGGACCTGCCACCAAGTCATCCCAGGGACCCAGAGTGCAGGAAAAAATCTATCCCACATGTTGTCCTCTGACCCCCACACATGCACCAAGACATATACACACACTCACAAATAACTGAAATGTAAAAAAAAAAAAAAAAAATTAAAGTTGCTAACACATGAGCTACTTCTGGTGGTGCCCAGTATAAATCTATCTAGCACCTGTGAGGTAGGGCAGGAGGATCAGAAATCCAAGGCTAACCTAGGCTTTGAGTGAGAAACTCATTTAAAAGAAGAAAAAAAAAAAAAAGCTAGGTCCATGAAGTCACAATTGTTATCTCAGCATTTGGAAGGTGGAGGCAGGCTCTCCCCAGCTCACTCAGATGCTGTCTTTTCGTTGTGTTTTGAGATAGGCTCTCACTAGGTAACACGGACTCACAGACTGGCCTGGAACCTGCTCTGCAGCTGCGGCTGCCCTCAACCTTCTGATCCTCCTGCAGCCACTCCTAAGTGCTAGGACAATGAACCTGGGCCCAAGTGAACTTTACAGACTGTGGCGTCTGTGCCGTAGGTGGGCAGTTACTCAAGTGTCCTTGAGCAACTCCTTAGTGAACTGAAGCTGACTGACTATTTGACATTCACCCTGCAGTTTGCTGAGTGTGCTGAATCACTTCAACAGAAGTAAACAAGCACTTTGGAAAACAGAATTCTGAACACACAGAACAGAATGATCTATTGACAGTCTTTCCTTAAAAGCACACACAAACGCACACCAAAAAAGTGAGTAGTGCCTATTGATTGCCACACACTTGACTTAGGAACGGGATGACGAGTGGAATTGCTAAACTTTTCTAAGCTTGAGAAACATGTCATCAATTCATGTTCTGAAAAGCTACCCTTTGATACAAGGAAACAGAAAGTGTCAAAGTCAATGAACATTTCACCCAAGGCTCCCTCCCACCTCACAGCCAGCCAACAGGCACTGTCTTCCTAAGCCTATTGCTGGTTTGTGATGCATCTGTTGCTTCTGTTCTCTAGGTCTCCTTATTACTAGCTGTAAAAGGAAGACAATGTCCATTTTCCCAACTCTGACTATATAGTAGACCATATACTAAAAGGTACAGGGGGGCTGCAGAGACCACTCAGAAGAGCTGGTACTGCTCATGCAGAGGACCTCAGTTTGAATCCCAGCACCCACATGGGGTGGCTGACAATTACCAGTAACGCCAGCTCCAGGGGACGCTGACGCCCTCTTCTAGAATCCAAGAGCACTGCACTCACATGCACAAACCCACAGACAAAGACATAGACACACATAATAAAAAATAATTTTAGCTGGGCAGTGGTAGTGCATGCCTTTAACCCCAGCATGTGGAAAGCAGAGACAAGCAGATCTCTTGACTTTGAGGCTAGGGAGTGAATTACAGAAGAGCCAGAACTACATAGGGAAACCATGTCTCAAAAAAAAATATTTTTGAAGCCTTAAAAAAGGGGGGGCTTGGGAGGATGTGCGCCACGAGCTGGAAATGTGGCTCAGTTAGCAGAGCCCTGAGCCCCATCCCCAGTGCTACATAAACAGGGCATGGTGTCATATACCAGTAAGAACAGCACTGGGAGAGTAGAGGCAGGAGGGTCAGAAAAGCTCAAGGTTCTCCTAAGTACACAGTGAATTCAAGGCTAACCTTGGATACATGAGACTCTACCACAGGAAAAATGAAAAAAGTAGGTAACAGAGTGTCTAATGACTGGAAAGGAAAAGAAGATACATTTTTGATGTAAACAACCGGACCAAAAAAAAAACACGACAAAAGGTCAGAAACATTTTGAGGAACCGCCATCATAAAAATGATTAGTGACAGAGAATGCATGCTGAGAAAGTATGCCAAGACGATGCACAAAGGTGTTCAACATATGGACACCAGCAAGGGAAGAGGAGGAGCAAGAAAAGGACGCCAAGCAGCAGAATGTAGGAAGAGAGCCAGGGGTGTGTAAGAGAGCTGACGGTTTCCACCGTTTCTGACAACAGCTACCCAGACATGGAGCTACACAGTGAGAGACCCCCATCTCAAAGACCGAAGGGCTAATCTAACGTGGCTGGAGGTGAAGACAGGACATCAGAATTCCATCATGTATAACAATGGAACAGAAGACAAAGAAGCATGAATGATAATAACACAATTTAGGTATGTCAACTATGTACAAATAAAGTCTGCAGGTTGAGTAGATGCAAAAACTTCTATTTGCAAAAAATATTTTTTTTAAAAAAAGTGTGGAAAAAAAAAAGTAAAAAGCCGGGTGGTGGTGGCGCACGCCGTTTTTAATCCCAGCACTTGGGAGGCAGAGGCAGGTGGATTTCTGAGTTCGAGGCCAGCCTGGTCTACAGAGTGAGTTCCAGGACAGCCAGGGCTACACAGAGAAACCCTGTCTCAAAAAACCAAAAAAAAAAAAAAAAAAGTGTGGAAAAATAAACTGTTAGGATGGCTCCGTTGTTGGAAGAGTGACTGTCTAGCATGTTCAGGTCCCTTCCATCCCAAACACCACACTATGATAATGGGGTATGTGTGGCTTAGTGGTAAAGTACTTGTCTAGCATCCCTAGGTTCTATCCCAAGCACCACATAATAACAGTGATAACAATGGTGTGGACCGTGTCTGTCATTCAGTGGTACCTGCTGAGCATGTGCAAGACCGTGGGTACCATCCCAGCATCACAAAATGATGACCATAATGATGAGGAGAAGGAAGAAGAGGGTATCCCAGCAACAGCTGGGGATATAGCTCAGAAATGTGACTAGTTGCTAGGTCGTAGTGGCACACGCCTTTAGTTCCAGCATTCAGGAGGCAGAGGCAGGTGGATATCTGAGTTCAAGGCCAGCCTGGTCTAAAGAACATGTTTCAGGACAGCCAGGGCTCTATAGCAAAACCTTGTGTTGGGGCAGGGGAAGAGAAAACTTTGCCTGGTTTCCTGGTTGGTCTTTTTTTTTTTTTGGTTTTTCGAGACAGGGTTTTTCTGTGTGGTCCTGGCTGTCCTGGAACTCACTCTGTAGACCAGGCTGGCCTCGAACTCAGAAATCCGCCTGTCTCTGCCTCCCAAGTGCTGGGATTAAAGGCATGCGCCACCACTGCCCAGCTCCTGGTTGGTCTTACTGTCACTTTAAAACAGCCTAGAATCATCTAAATGAGAAGCCTCAGTGACAAACTGTCTTTTGTCAGGTTGGTCTATGGGCATGTCCATGAGGTACTGTCTTGATTATTAAAGGATGCAGGAAGGTACAGCCTGGCCAACTGATGGTGGCACAGGCCTTTAATCCCAGCACTTGGGAGGCAGAAGCAGGCCTATCTCTATGAGTTCGAGGCCAGCCTGGTCTACAGAGCTAGTTCCAAGACAGCCAGAGCTACACAGAAAAACCCTGCCTCCAACTCCCCCCCCCAATAAATAAAAATAAAAATAAAAATAAAAATAAAAATAAAAATAAAAATAAAGGAGAAGACTATACAGAGCACTGAAGGTGCCACCATCCATGGGCAGGTGCTTCAGGGCTATATAAAGAAGTTAGAAAACCCCAGAGAGTAAATCAGAGAGCAGAGGTCTTGAGTAGTTTCTGAAGCTTCGGTTTCCTGCCTTGAGTTCTGGCCCTGACTTCCTTTAATGATGGACTGTGTCCTGGAAGTGCAAGTTGTAATAACCCCTTTCTACCCCTAAATTGCTTTTGGCCATGGTGTTTGTCATAGCAACAGAAAGAAAACTAGCACACCCAGTATGTTCACGACCCTGGTTACCATCCGCAATTTCCAAAGTAACGATGGTGATAACGGGTGGCGATGCAGTCAGTGGCAAAGCCTTTGCCTAGCAAAGTCCTGGGTACCATTTCCACCATTACAAAACGATGACGGTGATGACCATGGCTAGGGATGTGACTCAGTAGTAGAGTGTGTCCCTAGCATATGCAACGCTCACATCACAAGATAGTGATTATGACTGGGACGCATCTCAGGAGCAGACTACTTCCAGAACACGTGCAAGGTCTTGGGTTTCATTCCCAGAACCAGAAAAGAAAAAGAAAAGCTCTCTATCCTTCCAACATTCCCCTCCCCAAAAGATGTAGGAGGGGAGCGGGTTCCCACACCAGCAGGGTCCCTCCCCTGCCGCCCCACCTCCAGGTACTTCCGGCCCGTGCACCCCGCCCACCCGTCCTGCGCGCGGGTCCGGAGGTCTAGCCGCCAGCGGCCTCACGGTCCCCAGCTGATCCCGGTTTCCCCTGGACGTGTCCCTTACACTTCCATGTTGCCTCCGCCTCGTCGTACGCAACCGCTGGAAGTGAAGAAACCTCACGTTGTGCCGGCTGCTCTGCTCACCGGCTCTGTGTCTGTGTGTATGTGTGACGCAAGGCACTCTGGGACCGCCGTGATGCATGCCGGGATTGCAGCAGGGCACGCCCGGGTCCTTAATTCTAGGTGCCGGTACCCTGGTCTAATTTCAGCTTGTCAGGCGTTTTCATAGTGTAGGTTTCGTTAGGGTGTGCCTTGGCCGCGTTAAAATCCCTAAACAGGGTATGCTGGCTCACAACTGTAATCCTGTAAACTAGAGAGGCTGAGACAGGAGAATTGTCATGAGTTTCTAGCCAGCCTGAGCTACCTAATGACTTTCAGGCCATCCGGGGCTACTTGAGACCTTGTGTTAAAGCAAAAACAATAACAACAAAAACCGGAACCCAGGCATGGTAGTACAAGCTTCTAATTCCAGCAAGGAGGAAAGAGGGCGGCAGAGAAACCCAGACTTGAGAGACAGAGACAGAGCTGGAGAGATGGTTTAAGCACTTAGGAGGCTGAGGCCCGTGGGATACCTTAAGTCTGAAGACAGCTTGGGCAGCATGGTGAGTTCTAGTCAACTTAGGCTATGTAAAGATCCTTTTTTTTCCATACAACCGTTAAAATTTGGGAGGGTGGGGAAGGAGAGACAGATTTTCACTATGTAGCCTTTTAAACTCAGAGGTCCGCCTGCTTCTGCCTCCCAGTGCTGAGATTAAAGGTGTGAGCCACCACTGCTCAGCCATGTTAAAATGGCTTGCAGGTGATTATGTCTGAGCAGTTTATTAGAAGTGGGGGTGGATGGGTGTCTGATATGGTGGCACAAGTAGACCCTCCACTTTGGAGATGGAGGCAGGAAAATGCATTTTTCATAGTCATGTTCAGCTACATGGGGAGTTCAAGGCCACGCTAGGCTCACCTGTGTTCAACAAGTACATCCAAGAGTGATGGATGGTTCATGTCTATAATCATAGTACAGGAAGTCAAGGGAGAAAATTTAGTTCAAAAAATTACTATGTGCCAGCCTGGGGCACATAGTAAGACCCTGTTTGAAAATAATAAGAAAAAAAATAAAACAAAATTAAATTCATCAAGTAAATAAAATCTCATCCCAGATGACTTAAGACTGAAGGTGGTCCCCTGTGCCTGTCTTGAATAGATTGGGCCCCACAGTGGTGTTCATGGTGTTAGTCACTCAACAGTCTTACAGCGATTGCCCCCTGTACGCTGGTGATTCAGACATGAATAATACACACTTTCCAAGCTAGCTGACAGCCTAGTTGGGGGACCAGATCAGAGCCTAAATAACTATGACACACTGTTTAGACTCTAGCATAGACAGAGGAATGACTAACAAGGACAGAGAGGCGTCCCAAACCCAGGAGTGTTTGAGGTGCGTGGAGAGAGGATCGTTCAAAACCAAGGCTTCAGAGCTAGACTCGTGGAAGACAAGCTGGTACCTCAGAGAGCCCCGCCATAAAATGATTCAGAGATGAACGCAAGTAGGGAAATTGGCTGGCACCCATGTTTCAATGGCATCCACCTAGGCACCTGGGCAGTGAGCTCAACCTCGCTGATACATCAGTGAATGTCCTGAACTACCTGGCTTTTGTTGGAGTTTGTTTGTTTTGAGTCAAGGTCTTAAGGAGCCCAGGCTGGCCTCAGACTGGCTATGTAGCTGAGGATTCCCTTGAACCCTCTATCCTCCTGCCTCCACCTCCCCAGCAGTGCCGGGGATGCTTAGGAAGCACTTTCTCCCTGAGCTGCATCGACAGCCTTTCCTTGTCAAGCGTTTGTTTTCATCCTAAGGACTGGAAAGGCAGGTGATGGTCATGTGAGGCTCAGTGGCAGTCCTGTTAGCCGGTTGTTCATTAATGTGATCCCTCGGGTAATTAGCCTCTGACTAGCCAGATCTTGGAGAGCTTTCCTGGGCTGATATTATGTTTTTCTTGAGATGCTAGATACAGTGCCTAGCCTTCACATTTCCTGCCTCGGTGTCTTTAGGCAAATCACTCCTTCTCTCCCAGACTCTCCTCACCTGGAAGAGATGGGTGATTATCAGGGCCAGGGCCACCTTCTAGATATGCTCGAGAGAATTTAAAAAGGTTATCCATATAAAATATTTAACACAGCCAGGTGGTGGTGGTGCACGCCTATAATCCCAGCACTTGGGAGGCAGAGGCAGGCAGATTTCTGAGTTCAAGAGTTCGAGACTAGCCTGGTCTACAAAGTTCCAGGACAGCCAGGGCTACACAGAGAAACCCTGTCTCGAAAAAACCAAAAAAAGAAAAAGAAAAGAAAAGAAAAGAAAATGCTGTCTTTGCCGAGCGGTGGTGGTGCACACCTTTAATCCCAGCACTTGGGAGGCAGAGGCAGGTGGATTTCTGAGTTCGAGGCCAGCCTGGTCTACCGAGTGAGTTCCAGGACAGCCAGGGCTACACAGAGAAACCCTGTCTCAAAAAAAAAAAAAGAAAAGAAAAAAAATATTTAACACAATACCTACAATACTCTTAGAACTCAAGATACTGACACAACACTTGTCACTCCAGCCCTTGGAAGGCTAAGGCAGGAGAATGTCAAATTTCTGGCCAGCAGGAAGAACACAGAGGATTCGAGTCTAGCTATATAGAGAGTTCTTGCTTCAGCACACACAACAAAGCAAATAATGGAAATATTCACGACTGTTGATACTTTTTTATTCCAATCATATAGAGGTGATGCATCACTGGGCAGTGGTTGGTACAGGCCTTGAATCCCAGCACCCACGAGGCAGAGGCTGGCAGCTCTGTGAGTTCAAGGCCAGCCTGGTCTACAGAGTAAGTTCCAGGATAACCAGGGCTACACAGAACCTGACTCGAAAAGCCAAGAGAGAGAGAAAAAGAGGGTAGGGGGAGAGAAGACAGACAGACAGACAGACAGACAGACAGACACAGAGGATGCCTCTAGTTAACTCTCCTAAATATTTTTCATTCATTTTTTTTTTTTTACTTGACACAGGGTCTCATATAGCCTAGTCCCACCTTGAACTCACCTATGTAGCTGAGGATAGACCTCGAACTCCTGACCCTGCTTCCACCTCCTGGGGGCTGGGGTTGCAGGCATGAGCCACTCTGCTAGCTTTAAGCAGTATTGAGACTCAAACCCTGAGCTTCGTGTGTGCTAAGCGAGCACGCTACCAACTGCATCCCAAGGCTTCTCTGAAGGTTTCTTAGACCTTCTCTGTTCTTTGGGTAAGAACCAGAGCTTGAGGTTTCCTAGGGTGATGCTCACAGGGTGAGTGTGAATTAAGATGCCGTATTCCTCTTGCTCTGAGAGAGCGCTACCCTGAGCCACTCCACCAGCTCCTCATTTGGGAGAATTTAGGCAGGCACTCTAAGGCCGAACCAAACTCCAAATCCTTCCTGCGTGATTTGAGACAAGTATTCACTGCTGATCTGCGCCCCCCCCCAGCTCCCCATCACATAGATTCTAAGCAAGTGCTCCATTTCTGAGCCATGCCAGAGGTCTTAAGCATTTACTATAATCTAGGTCTGTTGGCAATGAATATGAAAACTTGTTTCTTTACAAGGCACGGAAGTTTGATTAAAGTCGGGCACTGTGTGATGCAGACACTCTAGTAACTACTGAGCGTGCTCCCCGAGTGCTCCCAGTCCCACCTTGGCTATCTCTAGCGTATCTGGTCTGTTGGTGATCAAAAATCTCCATAGTCCACAAAGGGCTGTCGGGATGGCTCCGTGGTTAAGAGGACATGTTGCTCTTGCAGAGACTCCAGTTTCCGTTTCCAACTACCATACAGTGGCTCACAGTTACCTATCTCTAACTGCAGTTCCGTGGATGCTGACCTGCACTTCTGACTGCCATTGGCGCCAGGAATATAAGTAATGTACATACATGCATGCATCCTCCGGGATAGACACTCATACCTGCTCTCCACAGTGGCCATGTTTTCGTGCTGATTCCGGGTAAGCTCAGACCGACCTCCTGCTTTGAGAATAGGATAGACTGAAGGAAGCACTGAGTATTAACCCTCAATTGCCTGTTACCATCCCCTTTCTGGACTCTCTAGAGAATACCAACTGGGCTACATCCCAACTTTTAGGGTATTTTTTTTTAGTGCTTTTTTTCTCTTTGTACATTTATTTATGTATTATGTATACATGTATATGTGTCCTGCATAAGCATAGAGTTTAGAGGACAATTTGGTGAAGTCATTCTCTCTTTCCACCATGTGGGTCCTTCTTGGGATCAAACTCAGATTGTAAGATTTGACAATAAGGGCTGGAGAGATGGCTCAGAGGTTAAGAGCACTGACTGTTCTTCCAGAGGTCCTGAGTTCAATTCCCAGCAACCACATGGTGGCTCACAACCATCTGTAATGGGATCTGATGCACTCTTCTGGTGTGTCTGAAGAAGTGTACTTATACACATAAAGAATTAAAAAAAAAAAGATTTGACAATAAGCCAATAAGCACCTTTACCTGTTGAGGCACCTCACTGGATCCATCTTTTCTTTAAATTTATTTGGGGTTGGGGAGGGGAGTGTGTACACAACTTGCCACAGAGTCTGTGTAGAGCTTGGAGAACAACCCTCTGGAGTCCGTTCTTGCCTTTCCCCTTATTAAGGCAAGGGTTTCTCTTGTATCTGCTACTGCTCTGAGTTCCAGACTAGCTGCCCCCCCAAACTTCCCGACATTCCTCCAGTCTTTTTGTCTGTCTTTCGTGGAAATGCTGAGAGCACAGATGAGCCCCACAGCTGCCCTTCTATATGATTTCCAGGGATGGAACTCAGGTCGCCAACCTTTCAAGGTTAGCTCTTTTTGCAGAGCCATCTCTCTAAGCCCTGTATTCAAACTCTTGACATTCCTACTCCACGCTCACGACTGCTGAGATCACAGGTATGTGCTGTCCCAGGCAACTTAGCATTTAGCAGTTCTTTCCACAGCCTGACTGCTGCCGGCTTTTTTTTTTTTTTTTTTTTTTTAAATTGGAGATAGGGTCCATAACCCAGGCTACCTGGAGCTGGCTATGCAGCTTGGGATGACCTAGAACTTCTGATCTTCCTACCTCAATCTTCCA